CGAAACAATATTCACTCATAAATTAGAATATGATATTTTTCGAATATAATATCACAAATTAGAACATGACATATTTTCGAAACAATATTCACTCAAATACACAAGCACACAATGTCCCAACATATACATATACATATATAGGATGTCACAAACAAATACACACATACACACACACACACACATATATATATATATATATATTATTTGAGGCAGAAGAATTTTATCATTTCAAACAGAATAAGTTTGTCACTTCAAATAGAAGAGATAAGAAGAAGTCAATCACTTTAAACAGAAGAAGTAAAAAATAAAATATCATACTCACTGCAAGTTATAACATATAGAAGAAGTAAAATAACCTGAATTTGTATCCAGAAATGCAATGCAATGATATGAAGTAGTATTCTCGTTCCTGATTCCTTGTTGGTGAATTGTGTTGTAAGAGTAAAAAGTAAGAACATATATTAGATTTATAGCTCGAATAAAATATTCTATGATATATTTTGGAAAATGATAATCATTCCAAAATTAAGCAAATCGATATAATACCATAAATACTAACATTAACAAATATACTAAAATAATTTAAAAATCAGTTTAATAACTCTCATAAATCATACCAAAAATATTTTAAATCATACCAAAATTAATCATATTATTGTAATATTTTAATTAAGATAATATCATACTAAAAATATTAACATTAAAAAATTGATATCATACCATAAATACTAACATTAACAAATATATTAAAATAATTTATAAGTCAATTTAATAACTATCATAAATCATACCAAAAATATTTTAAATCATACCAAAAATATTTTAAATCATACAAAAAATAATTAAAACTTGTTTTATCAATAATCCTCACTAAAAAATAATTAAAAATTGTAATTATTTTGTTTCATAAAATGACATCATTTTCAAAGATAAAGACATTGTATTGGATTTTTTTTTGGAAAACATGTAAGCAACCAAGCTTTATTAAAATCATTAGTTGAAAATGTGTTAGTAAATTGTAAATAAAATATATATATATATATATATATATATATATATATATATATATATATATATATATATATATATTAACTTAACACGACAAAGTAAGGAAAATTATATTTTTTAAACAAAATTGTATAACAATTAGTTTTGAAACATGATACAAGTAAGAAAAATGGTGAAGTTGGATATATATATATATATATATATATATATATATATATATATATATATATATATATATATATATATATATATATATCACCATAAGTGGTAAAACAACAAAACTTCCAAAAACATAATGGTTTCTCATAATTTTCCCCAAAAATTATTCATCTAGCTGTTTGTATAAAATAAAATTTAATTACAAATAACATAGATAAAAAAATGGATGATATAAAGTTTTACTTGTGACACATGAACCTCATGAATATTTGACTTTGCTTCATGACCATTTTGAGTAGCATCACTTGGTCTAGTGCCATGTTATTTCATGTTGATAGATATTATGAAACATACATATATACCACTCCAATGTTAGGTGTTAATATCTGAATCTTTTTACCTGAAGTCAACAAATTTGGATTTTAGAATCGAAGATTAACCTAACCCTCTTGAACTGGTTTTAGTAAAAAATAAAAAGAAAGAAATTTGTACTCACAGATGTTTCGTCAACCATAATGGATGGTAATTTCTTTTCTATTGCAATTACAACACCATTAGCAGCTGCAATCAGCAGGTAAAACATGTAAGCAATATAACAACAAAGAACGTGAAATAGTTTCAACATAGCAGCCATGACCATATTCTAATTGGTTATTAGTGCTTATAGCAAAAAAGTGCAATAAAATTAGATTATTTTATTAATCTATATAGCATAATTTCTTTATCTTATTTGCATAAAAAATTACTATTTTATGAAACATAAAAGGGCATAAGATCAACATATTTATAATAAATAATTAAAAATAATAATTTGTTACATTTGTATTGTTAAAAAATATTTTATATGAATTAACATAAATATATAGCTGTATTGTATTTGTAACACTTAACTCTACTAATTATTAACAGACAATAGAATAAATGCATATCAAACACTAACAAAAACAATAATTCCATATTGATGATACACACACACACACACACACACACACACATATATATATATATATATATATATATATATATATATATATATATATGGGAGAATTTCATATATATCCTTGCAAACTTTAAATATTACGTCAATATCCTTATAAAATTTAATATTACTGGGATAGTCATCGTGGAATATGTGAACTATATTTCCTGGTTTTCATTTAAAAATTGTGGAGCCAAAAGAGGAATTGCAACACATTATATTTCACATGTTTGTTTGTGCCTTCAAACACTAAGGCCATTAGAATGTTTTTTTTAATCAGAATTATCTTTGGCAAGTGTAGATCTCTGTTTGAAATTATGTTGCCTACTATGTAAGAACCACTTAAATGTTATTAATCTTCTATTCTTACAAGTATATCTGCATGGAGGTCACGTGACATCTTGGAAAAATGAACATGGAGAAGAGTTGCTTTTTGTCGGTAGTAGTAAGGTGTCAGCTATCCGTAAATTCTCTTTTGATGAATGCTTTCACACTCCTATTTATAATCTTTAATTGGATGTGATTTTTATGTTGTTTTGATTAATCCAAAAAATGCATGTATTTTTCAGGCAATCTTTAAGCCTCCAAAGGCAATACATGGGGGTATTCCTTTATGCTTTCCTCAAGTATGTGCCTATATCTTTCTTCTATTTAATACACTATTTTTGGATTCATTATACTCAATGTAACATGTTTCCTTGATGCAATTCTCAAATCTAGGAACTCTTGAAGCACATGGATTTGCTAGAAATAGAATTTGGATTGTAGACATTAATCCACCTCGTTTTCCATCCAATACCACCAGTAGAGTTTTTGTTGATTTGCTACTTAAGCCCGCTGAAGAGGATCTGAAGGTATGGCCTCACAGACACATTTTTTATTCTATTTTTTTTAATCTTAGATACTTTGTGCTTTATCTTTCTCATAAATAACTATATTCTATTTTTTATGTTCATTTGTAGCTTTGAATATTGACTGAGGATTACTAAGGGACCTACTGGAGACTTGATGTTGATATCCCGGATCAGAAATACAAATAATGATGGAAATCCATTTACTTTTACATTTGCATATCACACCTATTTCTATGTTTATGATATCAGGTAAATTAGTGCAACACCTTTCACATTATAGAATTTCATATAGAATTAAAATCTGTTACATGACCAGATTCTAATAGTTATAGAAAAATGAACCTAAACTTTGAAGTCATCACTTAAATTTTATGAGATGCAAATAGAGTTTTATACCACGAATTTCCAAATAGTAAACTTGTTGCTCAAGCCTCAAATGATATCCCATCATGCTATAGAAATTTGTTATAACAAGAAATGCAAGCTTGTAAAGTGTAATCACTTTTCATTCCTAAAGAGGTTTGACCAGAGCCAACAACTGTTAGGGCGTGTTCAATATGAACAAGCAAGCTTCCCAGAAGGACTGCCAACAAGTAGTGATAAGATGAAGGGTTCTAGCAATTTTGTAATTTCAAGTGAAATCAAAGTTGATCACCATTCGAGAAATTAACATGTAGATTATACCTGAAAGTTATTAGAGAGAAAGAGTACTAACTATCACCCATGGTCTAATTGAATTCAAAATCGTCCTGTAGTGAGATAAAAAACATGGTCACCATCATCAAATTAACTAGTTGTTCTATCGTTCATGACGTTATAGATCAACAATTTAGGTGCTGTTTGTTTTTTCTGAGGCAAAATGTCTGCAATCTGCGGACCACATCTGTAGACCTCTGCAGTAGAAGAGGTGGACCAAACATCTGCAGTCTGAAAAAAAAAGACTGTTTGTTTTTTTAACATCTGTGGGCTATTAAAATAAACTGAAATCTAAATAAACTGATTTTTTAAAACTTCAAAGCGATTTTTTTATATATTTTTACGACTTTATTATAAATATATAACGAATCTAGATCAACTGTTATGGATTATTATATAAAAAATAAAAATAAAAATGGTATTAATTCACATACATATTTGATTAAAACGAACAACTTTGATTGTAAATGTTATAACTAAACATTATAATTAGTGATCAAAGAATTTGATACATAAATAGATGAAAATAAACATCGATTTTTTCAATTAAAATCTATTAAAAACGTACGATAAATATTTTCTCGAGAAATTGATCATACTCTATTAAATAAAGTTTTACAAAATTTTGGCAAAAAAATATAAGAATATATTATGATTTTTTTTCATATCTATATAAACAACTTCAACGACTATTATTATAATAAATTTTTATTTATAAATTTGTTAAAAATATCATGTTTGTATCGTCAAATGTTTTTTTTAAGTTTTGTAATTTTTTTTTTCAAATTGTTTATCATTAATAAAGTTGGAAAAAATATAAATTGAAAAAAAACTTAAAAAAAATAAAGATATATATGTTTTTTAGATGTCTGAAGATGTTAGAAGACTCTGGTCCACATCTGCGCCAAGAAGAGGGCGCGCAGACATTCTTAGGTCTGTAGTTTTCAAAAAAACAAACAGTCTGCGAATACTAATGTCTGCGCGTGGTCTGCACGGCGTAGACAGAAGAGATCTCGCAGATCTGCAGACAAAAAAAAACACTACCTTAGTAATGCCGAAGTTAACACATTGACTTGAAACATCACCCGTGTCACAAATTGATATTAGTAACAATGATTTACATGAACACACCAACATACCAGAGTTTCCTCCAAATCGGTGCACATCCATTTTGTATCCGATCGTTGTGGCTTGCTAAGAAACGGACGAAAAGGTGGACTTCCATGGCGTCAATAATGCAGTTGAGATGGAGGAACATTTAGGTGGATGGTAACCCACTGATAGGTTGTAGTGACGACGACAAGATGGTGGTTGATCATGGTGGCATGATAGGGTTAGGGCTACTCGTCTTGACAAAAGGTAGAAGTGGCGGACAACGGTGGCGGAAAAGGTGGACTTCCAGGGCGTCGATTGCATCTTTGGTGGAGACAGGTGGTGGTGCGCTGCTTGTGTGTGATGTTGCCGGAGTCAGGGAAGAACACCTGACGTCGCGAGGGTGAAGAGATAAACAGAGACATGATATTTGGTTTGATGGCGACTGTTTGTGTGTAGAGGAGATTAGGGTAACATCAAGAGATAAGGTAATACCGTGTAATACGTGTACTTATATATGAGGTAATACGTATTATACCTCTTAATTTTCAACAAACAAACAATATGTTTAATAATATAGTAAAGATAATTTATAGATATAACAAAAAAATGTGAAGTATAATACAATAACAAGAAAAATAAAAAATACATCACTATTAGGAATATAAATTGGGAGAAGCCATATTTCGAAAAAGTAGACTTGCTTTCAGCGTCGTTTCGTGTAGATTCTCTCACCATCTGTTTCGATAAGAACCCTCTCCCCGAAATCCCAAATATCTTTCTTTCCTCCTCTCTTCTCTCCTTTTACTCGGCTTTTGATCCAACAGGTTAGCTTCCTTTATGCTTGTAAATCACATGTACATGCATATAATCATTGAATAAAGACGCCTGATTTCCGTGTTATTCGATCAGATCGCAATATTGCTACCTTTTAAGAAACAATTCTGTAGCTCAGGTTTTGATTTTGACTAATCGTGAGTTCATTTCTCTCTTTTTTCTGGTTTGATCTAAGTATTTGTTTCGACTTTCTTCGTTTTGGATTTGCTTGTTCAGGGTTTAGCTAGTAGTTGTTTTTTGACCGGATTAGTTTCCGCTTTTAAATATCCCGGCCACTGATTTTGTGCCCTAATTTTGGCAACCGATGATATTATTGGGCTTTTATTGTTTCCTCAACTGCTAAGCTTCCTTTAATTGTTTTCTTATAGTTCGCTTTACCCTTACGCTGACTTTCATGATAGATTCTGTGAAAATCCATCTTATTCATCGGTTATTTACCCTGTGTTTTGCTCAAATGTGAAATACGTAGTATTTCGGGAACATATTTTCCCTTTCTGTGAATCAGATAGTGTTTAGAGTGCAAAATTTGAGATTGATAGTGAAATTCAGTTATCTTCTAGATTTATTTTCATTTTGTTGCTAGTTCCATCAACAGCTGTCATTTGATCATCAATATCACAGGATCTTGCTTGTGTGTACATCTGTTTTATAAAGGTCAATACATAAATAGTTAAATACTAATGTTTCCTACACTAATTTTACTTATTCTCTCTTGTTTCACTATAGGTATAATGATTAAATTGTTTAAAGTCAAGGAGAAACAAAGAGAACTTGCAGAAAATTCTAATGGCAAACCACCTGTTAAGAAGCAAAGTGCAGGCGAATTGCGTCTTCACAAAGGTAAAGTTACTTCAAATCAAATCATGATTCTGCTTTTGCAAAATTCATTTTTTTTTAAATTCTTTTTGCAGATATAAGTGAATTAAACCTACCCAAGACATGTAGCATATCATTCCCAAATGGAAAAGATGATCTCATGAACTTTGAAGTAACCATTCGGCCTGATGATGGATACTACTTGTAAGTATCTGCAACAAAATCATATGTGTATCAATTTCTATGCATATTTATCTTTCTTTTATCCAACTGATTATCTTCTTATCTGATTTCAGAGGTGGCACATTTACATTCACCTTCCAGATTTCATCCATCTATCCCCATGAAGCACCAAAGGTCAAATGCAAAACTAAAGTGAGAAACACTCTTCACAATTTTGATTTCTTTAATTAAAATTTCTCATTCAACATATAATTATATTGATTATGCCATTTGTATGTAGGTTTATCACCCCAACATTGACTTGGATGGAAATGTTTGCCTCAACATTCTTCGTGAAGATTGGAAACCAGTCCTCAACATAAACACCATCATCTATGGCTTGTATCATCTTTTCACGGTAAACTCCATATCTTTAACATCACCTGACATAACAGGTTGTGCTGTGTTTCACATACATCAGTCAGTGTCAGTCGGATAAAGTTTCACTTTTTATACCACCCAAAAAGGCGAAACTTGGTGGGAGGGTTTTGCTTTTTTGCAAAAGACATAAACGCCCTCTTCATTTCTCTCACCTATAAAGACAAGACAAAACAGAACAGGTTGTACTGTTGCATGACTTGGATGTCAATAAAATAAAGCTTGACTTTTTGTGCTATGTAAAAAGGTGGGATAAGGAGTTTGTCGTGTGCAAAAAGATGAGAATGCCCTTTTGATTATTAATTTTTTGTGTAGGAGCCGAATCATGAGGATCCATTGAACAGAGAGGCAGCTGCAGTGTTGAGAGACAACCCGAAGATGTTTGAGTCGAATGTGAGAAGAGCAATGGCGGGTGGGTATGTGGGCCAGACCTTCTTCACCAGGTGCATATGAAGTATGAAGTCATGGTGGAAATAAGTCTGTGTTCCCAAGGGTCTTTTTTGCAAATTGGGAGAAAGTTTGGGGGGTTGAAGGTGTTTATGCAAAAATCAAAATGGTATTTGTTTGTTTGTAACTCTGTTGAATGCCATTGTTTCGGGTCTCACTTGTCATATTGTCTTGTAAAACTATGATGTGTTTCTGGGAAGATAAAAGAATCTCATGTTAATGTTGATGTTGCTTCATTCTCTTGTTATATTCTCTTTTGTTTATTATATGTAGAAACCAATTTTATGTGTATATAATGACATTATGTCATTATATGGGAGATGAGATAAACCATTCACAAAAATCACACCTTGAGTGTGTGTTCTTGTAGCGTTTGAGTTGTTATGGAGTTGCACATAAGAGATAAAAAGGTATTGGATAGAACATAGAAGGTTATAATAGTACTTAATATCCATGGATGAATGATTATAATTTATTTATGCAACAAAGTTATCTTTGTTTCATTTGTTACTAACAGTTGAGAATTTGAAATAGAATTATAATTTTCATTTTGGTTGAGTAATAAAAAACATATCAAAGTTTACAAAAAATAAAGAATAGTGATATTGTAATTAACATGAGTAAATGAAATGCAATAAAGTATTATAAATTAATTAATTAATATGATGGATGACGTATTATTTTTGAAAAGTAAATAAAAGATGGTACAAAAACACTGTTTATAAATTCTGGAAAACTTCTTTATAAACAACATTGGAAGTCTGATTTATGAGACTACCATTCTTATCTAGAATTAATAATTTTAATTCTTTTTTGCTTTGAATTCTAGATAAGACAATATATAATTGACCATGTGAAAACACGGGATGTTTGAGAAACAAATCAACATTGGATAATGACTGTTCCTGACTCTTATTAATGGTCATTGCAAAACATACAAGCAATGGAAACTGTCTTCTTTGGAATTTGAAGGGAATCTTCTTTTTTGATGGAGTTAAAGACATTCTTGGAATAAAAGTGCGGTTTCCAATATTAGTTCCAGATATGATACGCGCCTCAATAACACGTTTGTCAAATGCTATCACCTTGAGTCTTATCCCATTACATAAGTCATTTTTCTGATAAATATTTCTCAGCAACATAACTGGAACACCGATTTTTAAAACTAACTTATGGTTTGGTAAACCTGATACCTTCAGACCATTTAAAACATCAGGTGAATATAAATTTGCATCAAACCGATCATGGACAAATTCAGATTGGCATATACTATCTGAACTTAAGTATTCAACCTCATCTCCTGGAAACTTCGATAGCAAACAGTCGTTTATTTCCTGAACCACTTCATTCTTTGGAGCAAGTATTGCTCTTTCGTGAAAATAACTTGTATTGTTGTACTTTTCCAAAATTGAAGGATATACAAAGTCGATTAATGAACCTATAGGATCATGTGGATCATTAATGAGAATATCATCTGGAATATCAATAACCGTTTCTCCATCGTTGATACCACCAAGTTTGCCTTCTCTTATATCCAACAACCATTATGCAAAATCTATGATTTTTTCTATATTAGATTGATCCATTCCAACAGTTAGCCTCATATTTTTTGTTAATCTATGGATCTTGCAATGTTGCCATAAATATGAAGAACTTAAAGAAGCATTAACAATGTTTTGTCTACTTTCACCAGAAATAACAGGTAGAATCTGTGACAACCCGAAATTTCCATTCTAAATCAAACCATTTCAATCCAATAGTAGTAGAGCAGTTACAGTGAAAATTCAAACTTTTGGAATAAGTTTGACAGTTTTAGGGTTTTACACCAAAAAGGGGTATTAGGAGAGTGGTTGCACTAGGATTTTGTGCAGCACTGTAAATTCCATTACCCTAGAATCATTAGAATCCATTCCGAGAATAGAAATATTTTCTGCCAAAAATCTCAGGACTATAAATAGAATTCTGAACCAAATTGGTTCATTAGTTGAATTCCATTTAGAGAAAAGCCCATTTCTCTCTCACGGATCTTCGGGTTTTCATCCCAGATTGTGAGTCTACTTCCCTAGATGTGTTTTAATACTTGTTATATGCTTAATAACATTATTTACATGTCCAAAACACAAGATCCGGGAGTTTACCGCCCAAGAACGTTCTTGGGGAGTAAACTCCAAAATCAAGCCTAAAGGCCACCTAGTCCCATTTCCTTGTTAGACAACTAGTTAAGGACTTATTGTAGGATGTTTTGAGGCTAGAAACAATCCAAGAACATAAAGCTTTTGGAGTTTACGGCCCCAAGAGTTTCTTGGACCGTAAACACCATTTTCAAGGGCTTAAATGTGCCCTACTTTCCCCAAAGGCTTAGGATTCATCTTATACAAATACCCTAAAGTATCTAGGACCTAGAAAACATAAGGAAAGCACATATGTTGAAGAGTTTACGGCCAAGAGTAATTCTTGGGCCGTAAACTCCTTTAAAGGGGTCAAAGGGACACCCTAAACACTTCCTAAGGCCAAGGGACAATTTTGACAAGTACCTAGATGAGTTATGGACTAGCTAAAACATTTAGAACCCCATGTTTGAGGGAGTTTACGGCCCAAGATGTTCTATGGCCGTAAACTCCAAGAAATGGTACCAAATGGTGCCATAAACTCTCCAAAGCCAAGTACAAAAGCCTAGAATTGTTCCTAGTTATTATAGGACTTGATAGCACCATAATCACCCTCCCAAGGGAGTTTACGGCCGTAAACTCCAAGGGAAAAGGGTCTTTGGGCCGTAAACTCCCCAAAGGAGTCAATATGGTGCCCAAACACTTGTATATGCCTTGAAACAATTCCCACTAAGGTTGTAGTAATTGAAAGTACCATCCCAAGCCTTGGTTGGGAGTTTACGGCCAGGAACTTACTTCCTTGGGCCGTAAACTCTAATGAATATGGTCTTTTGACCTTAAACTCACATTAGGGGCATTGCACTCCTTTGTTGCAACCCTTTAGCCTCCTAGCACTTGACCAAAAGTGTTATCCTCGCGCTTAAATGTTATTACTTGTATAATTAGTGTTATAATCACTAATTATTTATATACATATGTTTTCATATGTAATTAGGATCATTGTGTGTGTCTAAGTCTCCACTTGACACCAAGCACTTGTCCGATCCTTCCGTACGATAACAGTCCGTTCAATTCCAGTCACTTACCGCAGGTGAGTTCATACCCCTTAACTAATGTTTTAAACTCTTTTTAAATGTTTTATGGGGGGGGATACAAGTAGAATCATGCTACTTATTATGTCAATCACATGTGATTAGCAAGTAGGATTATATTACTTATTACATCAATCACATGTGATTAATATACAGCAATCAAATGATTTGGCTACTCATTAGCCGTTTTACCAAACAGTTTCCTTCAAATGACTTTTTATAACATTTTATATGTTTTAAACTCCTTTTTACACTGTACAGCTTACTCCGTACATTTCCTTTCAAACTTATTTACAACTGTGTTTCAAACAAATGTTTCCTTATACTTAAACTGTTTTATTAAACTTATGCCTTCAAATTGTTTTATAGATTGACACCAAGTCGATCTTTTCTTAAAATAATACTTATATTTCAAATGTCTTACAAATCTTATTTATGCTTTTATATTATAAATTGCATGCCTCTATATGTATACTTATATAAGAAATGTTTAAAAGACTTAGGAAGGCTATCCACCCTATTTCCTTTTCGCGCCTTGAGATGTGGTCTGGTGGGATTTTGGGTATTCGTCCGAAGGTCGTTTAAATATTAGTTATATATCATGTACACATATATAGTCATAAAAGGTCCTTCCAGTTCATCCTATGCCCTTGGGTAGCAAGGGTATACATCCATGTCCATACGTACACTTAGATTACTAGAAAGCTACCATATGGGTAGTTCAGGAAGATACTAGAACCATTGCTAGAACGCGATATCATTCAATGAGTCAGTTCATTCATGAGTCAATACTTTCTAGAACTTTTCAGTACATTACATATACAGCTATACTAGGACGAGAACATATACAACTATACTAGAATGATTACATTACTATACTTGCTAGATAGAGAGAACACACATTACAGCTAGCACACGTAGAACATTACAGTACACTACTGTACTATTACATGATCGCTCTTACTTGAGTACAATTACATGATCACACTTACATATACATAGAACAGACGTCATTAGGTGCTATAGCACGGAACCAGTTCAGGATCTAACTATACTGATGAATCACACCACAATTGTGATAGTTATATCGAGTATACATGATCATTCGGTAATGTGGATGCTCACGGCTTGCGTTCATGCAGGGGTCGTGGGTAGGTCCCAAAATCCCTTTGATAGGGGAGCGTATAGTCTGGGATCTAGACATCACATTATACCTTATCCCTCAAATAAGGCAGTTGAGTACCGATGTAGTTATTTTTATTAAATACTACAGTACTTGGAAGTATTACCCTAGATTTAAGGTAATAAGTACGGTTGTAGTTGGACACTACACCATAGTACTACATTGATTTTCCATTACATATTTTTAGTGATAACCTCACTTAAACATTATTGTACAAACTATATTTTTGAATAATGATAGTTATACTTTGGAAAATACATCCTCTTACAAGAGACACACACATTCAGAACAGTTAGGTCTTGGTAGAAGACTACATTCAGAACAGTTAGGTCTTGGTAGAAGACTACATTCAGAACAGTTAGGTCTTGGTAGAAGACTCCTTTTGTTATTAATAGGAATCATAGGGATTCTAGGGTTTTTCAAACACTTACAGTTCATATACACTTTCAATACTTTTAAGTACATATACTTACATTTTCTCACATACAAATTAAGACACTAAATACTTATGATCTCACCAGCTTTAAAGCTGATACTCGCTTTCAAAATTACTTGTATCCTCAGGTCATCATAGACAGGTACCGATGCAAGGAGAAAGGAAGATGGAGCTTGTTCAAGACTTATCTTTCATTTTGATTTATGCTTTAGTGTTTATCAAAATTTGACAGAACACATTTGTATAATAATTATATTATTAATGCAATGGATGATGTTGTTGCTTGTTTACTACTTTACATTGTTGTTGATATTATACATGACGTCCTCCGCCCCAGAACGTTTCCGCCGTTCCTGGTTTTGGGGTGTGACAGATTGGTATCAGAGCATTGTTTATAGTGAATTAAGTATATCAACCCATAAAAGATATACTAACTATAAATACATAAGGGATTAAAAATACTCTGACCAAGAGTTTATACTTTAAATAGTAAAATATTTAAGTAGTATACGTGCTGCATTCATACTAAAATCAGTGTCACTAGGACAGTACAAAAGAATTACGATTGTTGGACAACACAAGTGGGCTTAGA